TCCCGTATTAAATGACGGTGATTTAAACAAGAACGTTTTCAGGAAGGATGGAGCTCTGCGGTCCATACAGTAGAAATATTGTTATAGGCAGACAGAAATAGTATTATAGGCAAACCGGAATATTATTATAGGCAAACAAATATTATTATAAGCAGACAGAAATATTATTATAGGCAGACAGGAATATTATTATAGGCAGACAAAAATATTATTTTAGGCAGACAGGAATAAAATAGAGACAATCTACAATTCTGCTGTTATGAATTTTTGGTTTTTTTAAAGTTGAAAATAAAGATTTTCAAATACTTGAGGGAAGCTTCTCCATAAACAATGCAAATCACTTTTGCTGTTTGGGGTGGGAGCATTTTACTTAGCTAAAAATGATAACGAAAAACAAACAAAAAAGACACTATCAGTATAACGAAAACGTTTATCTCCAGTCATCATCAAATGTTAAAGCCAATATAAAAAAATATGTCAGCTCTTCCAATATAATCAAAAGCTATCTTTTTAATGAGAGTAAAACTCGACACTCTTTATGCCATTTAACGATAACCATAGAACGAATGTTCGAGACTAAAATATTTCAGGAAAAATGGTTGTTAACTAATGATAAAATGGATTTTTGTCACATATACAGGGTGTATCAAAAATACATTTACAAACTTTGGGGCGAGTTCCTTATATAAAACAAGGCAAAATGTCCATATAAACATATGTCAGAAAAGGTAGCGTTGTACCTCAAAGCATTAACTCATAACATAATGTTCAAAATGTCCTCCGCTTGCTTCTACACACGCATGGACTCGTCGGTTCATTGACTGGCTGACCCTTTCAAATTTTCCCACACGGTGTCAAATGGTTTCGCAGGTCCCCATGACACGTTGATGAAGCGTTTCTGCATTATTAATGTCGGCTATATAAATCGTTTTAGCTGACTCCACATAAAAATCCAAAGGATTGAGGTCGGAGGAATGTGCAGGCCATGGAACCAGTCCTGCCCTACATATACATCTTTCATGGTAGATTTCAGCCAGTGCATCATGAACAAAATGACTAAAATGTGTTGGCATCCCATCATGCATGAACCACATGTGTCTTCATATTAGCAGGGGTACATCCTCTAGCAGGTCTGGAAGTGTCTTCGAAATAAATCCCTGTAGTCAGCTCCTGTAAGAAGATGTGACTTACCAGACAGTCACCTACAATTCTAGCCCACACATCGTAATTTGATGCTGGTGTCTAGCCTGTATTATACCATGGGGATTCCAATCCGCCCACAAATGTTGCGTGTGTAAATTTGTTATTCCATCTCTTCCAAAGGTTGCCTCCCCCAGTGAGCAAGAGTGAAGAGACAAACAACAGATCAGTAGTTTGTGCAGCAAACCATTGGCAAAATTTCCACGTGGTGAATGATCAGAAGACGAAAGACCCTGTACGACAGGAGCCAGTTAACGTGTGCTGCTACCTGGATCATCTCCTACAGCCTGTAGAATGTGTTCTTCGTGGTCAGGTGGACGATCGGATGTGGGTCTTCCAGGACCCATAGTTTGTGGTGCCACGGACCCTATCTCAGTAACGCGACGATAAACAGCAAAAAAGGTATAAACGACTCGGCTGCCTTCGGTCTAGAAAAACAATCTGATACTGCTTTACATCAATATTATTCGGGCGGCCATATGTAAAAATCATATCTGCCTGCTCACAATATGAATATCCTGGCATTGTTAAACAGAACACTTCTCAGTTAACTCACTACTACAGACGTTAAACATTGAAGACAGACTAGCCACAAATGTACACGAATGAGAAATGTGGCCTAGTCTACATGGCAACACAGCGACACCTACCGTAAACTTTCTTTAAACTTAATAACTCAAAAACGACCGACATGTGTTTATATAGACTTTTGTCCTTGTTTTGGTGTGAGGAAGCCGCCCCAAATTTGCTAAAAGTGATACACACTCTCTCTTTCTTTCGCCCCCCCTCTCTCTCTCTCGCTATATATATATATATATATATATATATATATATATATATATATATAATAAAAAAAATATAGTTTTAAGGTATACTATATTTATGGGTTAAAGTGCTCAGTATCAAGTATAGTGCATAAGTAAAATAATATAATCTAACTGAATAAATAAATTCACTTGGATTGTATTTTATATATTTATTTTTATTTTATTTATTTATTTTTCGTTCATTCTTCGTTTTCGATTTGCAATTAACGTAGTAAAAATTGTTTATCTGTTATATATATATGAATGAAAAGTGTGTGTGTGTGTGTATATATATATATATATATATATATATATATATATCACAAAAGCGTGAAACTCAGGGTCACAAACGCATATCCTCAATACAAATCAAAATAAATATATATATATATATATATATATATATATATGGAGAGAGAGATAGATAGATAGATAGATAGATAGATAGATAGATAAATTTAAAACAAAAGAAAATTTAGTTAACATTTTGATTTACACTATTTACATTGATCGGACTGTAGTCCTCATCTTTATTGTCATATTCACGACGTTTCAGTCGTTGTAGGCTCCGGCCTTCTTCAGGGGATATACATTGGAATTTCTAACTGAATATAAAAATAAAGATGAAAACCACAGTCTGAACGATGTAAATATTTACAATAGCGTATCTCAGAAATAAATATAAACATTTTGAATTGTACTTCAGATTATGGAAAATATAGACAAATCTCTCTCTGCTGATTGTACAAAATTTCTACAAGAGTAGAATGCAAAATAAAATCGAAATAGTCCTTCATTGGATAATTATGCCTCTGTCCATATATGTTATAAAAATGGACCCGTGTCTAAATGGAATGTTCGAGCGAAAAGTGTGCACCAGATGTGGCCCCTATTCGGTTCAGTTTTAGCTCACCTTTTTCTTTTTAAACCGACATTTAGTATTTCGCACGTGTAGACCTTCAACTCTTTTACAGCTCATTTAACCACTCGTTTTGACAAACAGTAACGCCGCATTTCCTATACGCTAATTTAACCACAAGAAATCCGCACGTCACTTTCAACAGTTCATTAAAATTTCTTATTCTTTCACACTCTACTTTTCTCTCACTTCTTCCTTCTCTCTACATTCCTCTCTCTCTCTCTCTTTCTTCCTACCGCCCTCTCTCAGTATCTCGGTTCATATGACTTACATGTTCATTACGCTTCATTATTACCAGTTTGAGATGAAATATTTTTTCATTGCCATTATCGTTGTTATATCTATCTGATGTAACTCCGTCCGCCTAAAATATTTGACTTTACTATCACGGAACGTTGTGAAAAAAACACGCTGTGTACAATAATGGACGCATTTATGAACACTTTATAAAAATGATTTCAGATCAAATATGAAAACTTAAATAAAACTATTTTGAATATCAGTACATATCATTTATCAAGAAAGTCCTAAACTGTTCTTCAATCAGATTTTTAACACCATTTCTTCTTCTTCTTCTTCTTCTAATAATAATAATAATAATAATAATTTTATCGGATTTTACAATACACACAGGCAGAACAATCGAAGCACATCGCCCAAACATTGTGAGCAAAGGCAACAAAAAAAGAATGTACTTTCTTATTGACATATCAGTCCTTGCAGATTGTAATGTATCTTTGAAAATTTAAAAAAACTATCAAAAAGGATCTTGAAGTGAAAATCTAAAAAATGTAGAACATGAGGGCCTGAATATTTCCATTTGTAGCTAGAGCCCTCGGTTTGATTGGAAAAGGTTCCGATAGACTCATTGAAGAGATTTTTCATAGCCCATTCCTTAAAGAAATACAAAAAATTGTACTCACAAATACAGCTCACACATTACGAAGAGCTTTATCTGTGTGAAATTTATGTGATCTTAGGAGTTTTTTTTTAGTTAATTAATTATTCAGATTAATGGAAAATGTCATGAAGCCATTTCTGATCTTAGGTCTTTGTTGCGGTACTGGAGGAAATGTATATCCAACAGAAAACAAATCTTCAGGTAATATACGTAGGAATTTTGAATCGAACCCATTATTTAGTCTACTGGAATGTATTGCTCTAATTCCACAAGCCATGCCTTTTTTAACTATCTCAGTATCTGTTTTTTGTTCTCTATGATGTGGCCTAGGGTGGCGGTTTCGTGTATTAGGATGGCCAGCTTACGTATACAATCTGGTCTTCTTCGACGAAAAGATCCCCTCAGTTTCTCCATTGTTTCACAGTATGTGATTGAATTATAATTATTAACCATGCAGTATGAAGTCCAAGAACATTTGCATTTCAGCAAAAAAAAATTGTCTTACTACGGCGAAAAAAATATCTAACATTATTTTATGAATTTCACGAACAGCTGACCTTTTGAATTTCAGTAAAAAAATATATCAGTTTGCTGAATAATAAGAATGGCTGCTGCGATAGAGTCGACCAAATAATCTTGGCCCATTCCAATTAGCATTTATTTGAGCTCCTCAAACGACATTTATCCGGGAAACGGTTACGCATGCTCTTGTTACAGTAATGTAAGGGTGGCTCCAATCGCTTGACACCACGTTCTTTGAGCAGTGTATTTTTGGTGGTCTAGAATTGATGAGAGGAAAAGACAGTTAAAATTCATGGGTCGCATAATGAAGAAGAAGGGCTTGGAAAATCTGTTATTCACCCGTGAATATGGAAATAAATATGAGGACAACAGTCCAAGCGATGTAAATAACTACAAATCTCTACAAAACAATCCAAATTACCAGTCAATCGTTAGTTATCCTCATTTTCTCTTTCTGTTGCTTTAGCTTTCTATCACATCTGATTTGTCACAGATATTTTTAGAGTCACCCTCTATCTTGATAGTCACCCTCTATCTTGAGTGGCACTCGAGTCTTGTATTAAGTGAGCTTTAATAGTTTATCAAGATTAAAAGTGACTAACTGATGACATAATTGTCTTCATTTTGTTAATTCTCATTCTTTCTTTATAAGTTTCCGACTTCGTTCTTTTGCAAAGTTTCCCTTTTATTTGTTTCCTTTTATTTATTTTTCATCTAAACGAAGCCAGTCAACACTGATTTCTCTGTTTATATCTATTTACACTTGCTTGGTCAGTAAACCTCTTATTCAGAGGTTTGCCATTTAATTCTTGTCTATTGTTTTAAGACGCCATTTTTCAAACAGCAAAAGTGAACGAGACTGCTATCAAGATTGTTCCACTTCTAGGTACGGTCTATAGTCGTCTTAGAAAAGGCTAATCTCTTGTAGGCTATTGAGGAAATATCGGTGAAAAAACAACCGGGACCCTCCTCACTGCAATGAAGCGAACGCCCTGCTGATCTTGACATTCATATCTTTCATATGATTCCAACTCTTATTCGATGAATATCTATTTTGAAACACCACGAGAGGTGTTGTAGGTAACTTCAGACCAAGAATAGGATTACAATTCTAAGTGGTTGCCTCACTATCATGAAATCACCTACAGAGAACACTTAACTCTGAGTAGCTATGTACTGTGCTCCAAGATCAGGGAGTAAAAGACTTGGGCGTGGATGGAACAAAAACGTCGGAGTTTACTTTACAACTTTGAAAATAGGTTGAATATTTTAATCCCGACAATGACTAAATCAAGTCGTTCATTTTGATTTCAGTCGTTGATTATTATATAATTTATTTTTAAAACTCGTTTGCATATTCTTCCTTAAAAGAAGGCAGGCAAAAAATAATGGCCAGACATCATCTCTTCCTGCCATTATTCACATTTTTAATGTTTTAATTATACAAGCCATACTAAGGATGGCGTACGCTATATGAAATAGATTTGTTTGATGTGCATGCTTGAACAGGCCAGTATTTTTAAAGAAAAAAACATACTCAATAACAAATAAACATTATCTATCTATCTATCTATCTATCTATCTATCTATCTATCTATCTATCTATCCCTATGTCCAAGTCTCTTCATATCTATCTGTTCCTCTCTGTTCATATCTATCTATCTATCTATCTATCTATCTATCTATCTATCTATCTATCAACAATGGGGATACTAAAATAAAAAATGCATGGTTATTGTCAGTTTCACGCCCTAAATAGTCATCAGAACGTAGACTGCTGATTGGTTGATGTGGGAAACTGCCAGTTAACATGCAGAGTAGATTTCTATGTCCACACTTTATATATACAATGTCTATATCTCTAGAAACATTCTTTCCTCATAATTATGTTAAATTTTAAACAATGTAACTACACACACACACACACACACATATATGTAAGCAATATGAACACAGTGTCCAACACCGAATGGCGACAGACAGTTTCATACCTGAACAGAATCTTCAGGATTGCGTTCAATCAGGAAGCAGACTGTCGCCATCCGGTGTTAATCTCTGTGTACACACTGCTTATATTTACATATGCACTTGGAGATTGATAATTTTTACCCGATGAATATAAAACATCTTAAAACTATATTTTATCGTGTGTATGCGCGCGCACACACGTTTTTTATTGAATCATTTCACCCCAAGCAAGACGATAAAGCCACTAGGACGCAAGATAGGTTACAGAGAGTGAAAGAGAATGAGAAGACTTTAGTGAGAAGGGGTCATGTCGTGTTCTGTATCATTTTCCTCTTGGCAAATCCGATCACGCAGTGTCTGTTGATATCTTCTTCGGCTCTTCGATCAGACAAGAAGCCTCTATTAACAGAACATCTTTTTGTTATCAACGTAGATATTTGGAGTCATTTCCTGATTTTCTTTGCGATGTCCCTTAGAATTATATTTTTAGTCATCCTGTTAAGGAATATACCAATGAGGTCTCTTCCTGGGTGAAAGACAGCGTGGAAGCTTTTGTGCCAGCATGTAGATACCAAATGAAACCAGAATCTTTTCTTGGGTTCTCCCCTGTCTGTTCAGTCGCTATAGTCCACATGAATGACATCTTCCGCCAAAGTCTGAATGACAGAGGGATCAGTGGCATTAGAGTGATGACATTACATGACGGGCATTGAAGATGCCGAACACAAGGATATTTGTAGTCCAACATAGACAGTGGGCTTATCTATACAGTCAGAGATTCTATCTAGCAAGCAGCAGCTATGGGAGGAAGTGGGGCGATAAAAGAAAAAGAGATAACTGACTGTTTAATAGTAAAAGTCGAAAGCACATTTAAGAACAATTCAGAGACCCACGAGACATTTTCTTACCAGAAAAGATGCACGAAGGCCATGCAAGTGGACTCTAGAGTTCTTTCGAAAAAGAGGATGACAGCGAAGAACAGAGAATTCAGTGGAAGAGATTGAAGAATTTAGATGAATTTCACAGAGAGCTAAGATATCCGGAGAACGTTCCAAGAGAAACGATTATGCACTACAGAAATTGGTACGAATATCAAGAATTTTGGGGAAATATTGAAGGGTTTATATGTTTTTTGCAAGCTAGTTTGATTTTATTTTGTTTATTCGTTTTGGTCAGGATATGGATTTAATTTTGAAATGGGCATGAATAATAACAGATGTCGGTCGTCAAAGGCAACATGATCTGACTGGAAATTAGCGGAGACTAGAGTGGCCTCATGGTTACCCACCGCAACTACTTGTAAGAACGCTTATCTATGCGCGATATAAACACATCATGAACCCCGATATTATGCGACTGTTGATCGGAGCAGCCTCTCTAAGCACTACATAAGAGTTTAGCTCGTTACTACCAGTTTGGATGCATCAACCAGAAAAAATGTCAACTCTGTATCCTCAATATGAAGTTCCGTAGCCTCCAGCCAGTCATATCACCAAAAATGAATAAAAGTCACCCTTTTTAAGGTCTCAGAAAAAGAGACCGGAAACACCATCTTAAACACAAAACAAGAGATATACGTCGAATCCTTTTCAAAAGATGAGAAAGGAGTAAGAATTGGGCGATAGGCAGACCTATCTCCTCCTGTTGAGAAAAAAACAACAACAAAATAAATCGATAATCAAATAAAAATTAATAAATAAACTGATAGATTAAAAGATAAAAGTTCAGCTTGTAGACGGAGATGTTTGAGGTATACAGTATTTTCCTTACGAATTAACTTAGTTTTAAATTTTATGATTGCGTTGTCTTGTCGCAAAAATAAAATGAAGCATCGTTATACCAGATAATGTTTTTTGTCAGTTAAGAGTCCTCTTCGATAGGTGTATAAAATCGAGGCAGAAGACCTCAACGAAGAAATTCAGCAAGTCTTGACCGTTGGAAAGTTAACAACTATTCATGCGATATGGACTCTTTTCAGTTCCTCAACTATGAAGAGTTTGTCTAGTTCTTTCGCTGCTTGTGCCAAGATGAACCTCCTGTTTCCGCCACCTCTTAACCCAGAAAAGCGAATTTAAGTTCAGAGTAAAAACAATGGGACCAAGTGTCGGATTTACTTCGAATAGATTTGTTAGGATAACAAGGGTTAGTTAGGGAACTGACATTAAGATATTATTATTCAGTTTTAATTTAATATAAGTTGAAATGTATCCTGTCAGAATAACATCGAGCGGGGAATTAAGATTACCTTTATTATCACATAAGGATTTTTCTTAGGCAAATAACGGAGTCACAATAAAGTCGATTTAAGATATGCCTCAAAAGAAAGGGATAAACAGAATACGCAGGGAGATGGCGCACACACTTACACCAGTTTTCAGAACCAGACTAATTGGTCAGATGCGTCAACCTTTTGTTTAGATTGGCCTCACTGTAAGCGATAATCTTTAAATTTTATGGCAAAGAACTACGTCACTTCCTACTTGAGGAATTGGGAGAGTGAAGCAGATGAGAAAAGACAGAAATATTTAAAGCAAGTTTCGGACTATTCGAAGAACAAGCTTCTAAATTTGGGTTGAGAGAAAGAGAATCATTGAGATATTGAATGAAGATGTTTTTTGGTAAATACTGATATTCACAAATACATTCATAAAAATTCATAAATCAACGTTTTTATCCGCAAGGACACCCATGGAATTTTTGGTTTAATTCATCTAAGGCTTGTATCCACTGGGACATGGGTACTTGGAGATGAAAGCGTTGGTTGAAAAAAAAAGTGATTTAACTCAGAGTTGTGAGTTCAATACCTGAAACCGACACTGGAAACAAAAACTTGTAGGGTTGACTTACTAAATGTAATTAACTGAAATTGAGACATCCAAAAATAGCATTGTACTGGACTAAATAAAGCGTTTGGTTTGAAATTTCCGCGTATGTCATGAATATAGCTGTAAAGATGAGGACAACACAAGCGATGTAAATAATGCAAATATAATACCTCAATTCAGAAATATAGACAAATTAATTCGATGGAAATAAATTCTACAGGATATAAACTTTAAAGCTGCATGAGAATATTTTTTTAATCTATTCCAGGAAATATTATTTTTCTAAATCATGATTTTGAGAAATTATATTAATCCATCACGGTATCAAAATAAAAGAAACTTCTTCCGCGTCATGAAATCCAGACAATTTATAATTTTACAAGTATCGCGCTATTGGGAATAAATTTCTAATAAATAAATAAATAAAATAAACCAAACCTACAAATCGTTTCGTCTATCTATATGTAAATACCTTCTTTCGTTAAGCGTCACTAGATATGGGGCCGTGTGCACTCTTATCGATGTATTATTTATCTTCCTTTTCCTTCAGTTTCGTCCTAATCCGAGTTCATTGTAATCTTTATAAGTCTTCCCTTGCAGGTGTGCAAACAGACATATCCATCAGAGGAAAACTCAGAATCCATAACATTGCTAACACTTTGAGATGAGAGAATATTTTGCCGCTTCGACCTATTAACATAACATGTGTACCAGCTGAAGAAACAACGGACATTATTTCTATCACTCAGCACAAAACACGACATTCCACAGATCCGCACATTCCTTCCAATGTTCTACAGTAGGGAACTAATAAACTAGGTTTGCTAAAATTTAGAAACCTTCAATGGTATAATATCACTCATTTGAATATTGTATATTTGGGTAGCAATCTTTATTTTATACATGTTTCATTAAATGTAACAGGGAATTTTTTATTCAATTTTCCTTTTATAGGGTGACCGTATTAATTATTGTCGCAATTACTTTCAGCCAATTCAGTTGCCATTTTCAATATCTTCATATTTTTCTGTGTTTACCTTCTGAGTTCTATTGTATAGCAGTAGGAGAAGTATTAAGTCGTGTTGGCTGGAATTAATAGTGTACTTCTATATTGGAAGTATCTTTAAAAGTCCACCAATAGTACGGTTAACACCTGCCTTAAATCATTTTATATAAAATGCTTTAGTTATCTTCAGAACTCTTTTACAATTAGATTTTATATAAATGAGTTGATCGTTAAAAAATGTTATGACAATTTTGCAAAATTAAATTAAAAACGAATTTTACTCAAACAGAATGATTAAGAAATATTAGTAAAATTCAATAGATTCTTATAATTTTTATTCACTGATTACAATCTGATGTATTTCAGTGGAGCTTAACTAAGAACAAATCTCATTATTAATCCAGTACCTTCCTCAGTATTTTGACTTGAATTAAGAGGTAGTTTTTCCCTACTTTGGAATTTCTCATTTTCTCTAGACTATTTGTAAATATTCAATCGATTTAAATATAATGGGTTCGATCAGCAACTTCATACTTCTTATTTGTTTGATTCTCTAGCAAGATTCTGATATTTTCTAAGATTTCTTTCAATTTTACTTTGAAATCTGCAGCAAACGACAACAAGATCCATCATCTAAAAAATTCGGATTACAATGTATACATCTTGTATACTAGGCTAGTCTGTATAATCAGTTTCAAATTTTGAAAACCTTCGCAGAATCTTGCTTTTTCATTGTCTAAGTCTACTGTTTGCATATACAATGAATATTCGAAAACTAAGGTTCAATCGCTGATACATGTTTATTAACATACAAATAAAAAGTGGTACAAAGGCTACCAACAATACTATGTTATTTTAAACCTCTAGTCGCAATCGAGATTGATGCATTTTTCTCATCAGTGCTCTCTCTTTTTATGTACAGTGTCTCCACAGGAAGTAGGCGATCATGGATCTCCACAA